TGAGTAAATTGTTCGTCGAACGCTTGCTTGAAATTGTGCGAACATTCACCCGTTAATCCACGTGAAGATTATTTTTTTCTACGTCTCTCTGCGTTTTTTTCAACTCTTTTCAACCCTTTACGTATGACCCACGATTAAATCTTTCCTAAATTTCGTGATGAAACTTACTAGCGTGTAATTTATCACTTTCAAAGTAAAGAGATGATTGATGTACAACGTTCGTGCGATACATGCAAGTGCGCAAAGTGTGAAATAAAAATACAGTGCAAATACCCCTTGTACGTAAATTTTTCGAAGATTATATATCGTATGTTAAGGATGTTTGTTTCCCTATAAAAACTTTCTTAAACCATCTTGGTCAGTGTTAAATAAAAACACCATACAATTAAACGATTTGTATTAATATATCACTCGACGTGTAAAATAAATTTTTAAAAAAAGGCAATTACGCCAATATTTTTTTGACCCATTATAAATACGCGCACGGCAAACGAATCCGTACTTTAATCCGCGTAATTTTTAATCTGCTCGTGTATTTAAATATCCCGTCAACACACGCATTTGTAATCCATATACATGTTTATTAAAAACACGAATGTTTAATTTCTAAATACACGTTTCGTGGGTCGCGTGAACATGTATATTTTAATTCACGTTCAAAACCGTAATCTCTCATATTCGTTTGGAAAAAAGGAAAACCCTTCTGACATATGTGTATGAACGATGACTGTAAATCCAACGGACCGATATTGCTGCAAAAATAAACGTACAGAAACTAAAGGAGTAATTTCGTTCTTTCAAATTCGATAATTTGGAAAGGTATGTACGTGAGAGTGGTAGAAGAACGGAAACGACAGTTCTTTTCTCGTCGGACAACAGTCGATAGACCCTCGAAGACGGTGTAACCTCGGACGACATAAAACAGACGACTTTATTTAGGGAAGGACGATCGTCGTCATCGTTCGAAGAACACCGACGGTATCCACCACCCTCGTAACGCGAGCCATACGCTCCAAAACTGCGGGAATATCAATAGGGGGAATTCGCCGCGGTAGATGCGGAGCAAGGGAACGCCGTCCAGGCATCCCGAATGAATTTATACGGCGACCCTGGCTCGAGGACGGAATTTTCAATGCGGCCTGTACTCTTATTGCCACTGATATATTCGAGAAAACTTTTTATTCGGCGTCGTAAATTATCGCAATATCGCTCGCGGAGTTCAGCTTTGAATCAGACTTTCCTTCGGGGGCGCAAGAACCGAGAAATTGCGTTAAGGAATCGTTTCATCGATAACGATCGCGACATCTTCCAACGATATATTCTCTGGCACGATGCTCGATGATTTATTGGGGACGACTCGACTCGAGAGATAAGGTATTAATTTTTCTTCGTCGCTCGGACATCGAAAGTTCGTTCATGTCATGTTTTCGTTGTTTGTCTGTAGTCACTGACGAGCGAAGGATTTCTTTGGGAAGGATGATCGTTGTAATTTGTTCAGAGATGAGTAATTTGATGAAAATTATTTGGCGACGATTCGTATCGGCGATTGAAATTTTCACGAAATGACGAAGTCGATGTCACAAAACCGGATTTCGATTATCGACCTTGCCGTTTGCTGCAAAGCATTGGAAAACTTGAAGTAGAAAGTATTCCCATCGGTTTTCAAATGGAGACACATTATGCGAAACGAACCGTACGATTATTTGATTATTCGCAAACATTTGAAGCCGGGTCGCGCCATTTCTGTAATTGCTACAGTTTTCGAAAATTCGTCCGCGCTTCATTTCAGACGGCACGTTTTTATTTGGAAATCAATCGGAACTTTTCGCTTTAAATGTTCCGGTCCTTTGCAACCGATGGCGACCGGCAAACGAAATAAAATTTCAAAGCTGGTGAAACCACTCCGTCATTTTGTGAAATTTTAACTGAACTGGTGGGAAAAAGGAATGGAAACGATAAAGCTGAAAATTTTCACTGTACCGCGTCTGGGTGAAAAAAGAAAAAAGGAAAAAACATTGGAACTTTTCATTTGACGAAATTAAAAGTATCGTAGGATATAAAGAATTCGCGGAGCTTGGCCGAGCGAGAAAGGAACAGCGTAAACCCGTCTGTGAAACCCACTTAACCGCGAAACTCACAAACCGATTCAACAATTTTGTCTGCGTATTTAACATCGCCCTCTTCCTTTCCCCCTCCCCTCGATCTGGGTTTTGTTGTATCGAAGTTTATGCCCGAGCTTCAACGGTATGCAGATATCGATAGTAAAAGTGGGGCGAAGTTTTACGGGCCGACGACTCCTCGTGAAATTATTCGGCCGCTTAAAAGTTCCTCACGTTTTTGCTCGTCGCGACGATGAGCTTCCCTTTCGATTTCTTTCGAGGAAGTCGGCTGACTCGATAAATTGTTTATTAGTCACTTCTCGCCCGTTGCTGATCCTTTTCACATAGAATTGTAGAGAATTATTTCGTAAGTTTGTGGGAATCTTCCTTTCGTTCAAATGCAATATATTTCGAATTGATTCGTGCTCAAATTTCATGTAAAATGTGTTAACTTTGACAACCTGTAAATTCATCTTGGACGAAATTGACAGTCGAACTTGTAAACTAGGAAATTTTCTGCAACTCTAATCAATCACGCACTAAATCGATAATTACAAAAGTAAGTAATTTTCTGTCAAATGTCTGTAATGTATATGGAGTCTTGTAGAATTTTCTTACTATATTTCTGTTGTAAGAACAGATTTTCTGAGTTTTTCATGCAAATTCGTTCTTTTTTAAATTTCAAAAATGGAACTAGGACAGGAGTTTGTTTCACGTATCAAATGTCGTATTTTATGCACTTTCGTACCTTCAAATTTCCCAAAAGTTGATGAAAAACTACAGTCTACTCATTAGTGTGACGTTGACTGACGTTTTTATTGGACACGTACCGCTATTCACAGAGAAACTAATGAAACGAATAAAGTGATCTTTTAATTTCCTAAAATTCGGAAGATATTAGAAATCAGAGATTGTCGATGCAATAAACGTGTAAAAAGAATATTAAAAATAAAAAAAAAACAAAAAAAAAGTGAAGAAGATTCGAGAAAAAAAGAGAAAACGACGATGCACGAAAGGATCGACGCATACTAATACTCTTCTCGAGTAAACGTACACGTAGGTAACTATCTTAATCACGATTCGTAAAATGAAACGAAACAATTTCTCACGAACGCGCGACGATCGAGAGAAAGAAGCCGGGATAAAAATTCATTACGAAGAAACGAAGAGGCGACGAAGGATCTCATCCAAGTTTTTTAAACGATTAGAATGGCCCAAATCTCGACGGTTAGGGTGGCACCGTAACGAAGATTTAGAGGTTGGCGATTAAATGCTCGAGGCCTCGACGAAGGCAGAAACAGAAAGATGTTGGATCGTTCGTCTTAATAAAGTGCGTCGAAGGCACGCTGTTCGAAACGATTGACTTATGGCTAGCCATCCGAGCAGACTGCGCCTCCCCCTTTCCCCTCTTACGACCTATTTCCACTTGCTTTTTTCCCTCCCCGTGGTACGAACGAACAGGCCACTGTTCCGCCAATATTCAGAAGGGTTCCTCGAAGTCGGTAGGTCGTTAACCCTGCCGATCGAATCCATCAATCGAACGAGGGTGGCTGGCTAACGACGCCAAACATTCGTCATCGGGTGAATCCTTCTTCTTCGATCCTCGATCGTGCCTCGTTTCGTCCTCCTTTCGTCCTCCTTTATCCCGGCCCCCGAGTGGTTTCTCTTCCGATGGCCTCGGATAACGGCCGTGCCTTAAATATTTATCGCCGATTAAAGAGGCAAATTGAAATGGACTAATGAGAGTTTTCCTCCATCTCCGATTTCAATTTTCTTTGATCTTTGATCTTTAACCGTCGAATTTACTATCGTCCGTCGAGTCAGAGACAGTCCGCTAGAGAGAGCCGTTCTAAATTTCTCGATCACTATTTACGATACGAGAAATACTCGTCGATATCGTTTAATTTTCCCCAAATTTGGACTCCGTCGAATTCAATTGCTCCTGCTTTGTTATTGTTAGTAACGAGATTCCAAGCGAGATTGAAGAAATGAAACGTTGCACGATTGATTTATTGATGAGTAATAAATGCATCGAGTGCAAAATAAAAATATGGAATATTTTGTGATGCGAGGAAGAGGGATGGGCACGGAAGAATATTTGAAACGATCTACAGCACTTAACGGGAGAAATTAACGACGTGTTACACGCGAAAATTCCTTATTGCTCGGCGTTCTTTTTATTCATCGATCCTCACTTTATTAATAGCCGAGCCTTTTAAATTCCAGCTTCGACTCCGCAAAAATTAAGTGGCGCTGGCTACGTTATTTGCATAAATAAACAATTATTCTCGACGATTGTTTTTAACTGGCGAGTGTACCTGATAAATATTCAAGATTCGTCGCGAAGGCCCCTCTCTTTTTCTCTTTCGTTCGGTCAGGCGAACCTAACGGGTCACCTAATGATTTATCATTTGCCTCTTGTCCACGAGCCCCTCAGCAGAAATTCTTTTGCCTTGCGAGAGAGTGGGAAAAGAGTTTGTTGTACGCTTTAAATCACAAGCATCCGCTGCTTTAGAACGCCCAAGCAGATCCAGTCGAGTTTAACGCAACGTATGAACACAAGTTCGCCGCTCTGCTGAAGCTAGCTCTCTCTCTCTCTCTCTCTCTCTCTCTCTCTCTCTCTCTCTCTTTCTCTACTACTGAACACACATACACGTTACACCTTCTAGAAACTCCAAACTCTTGTCGCAAAGCTGTTCTCCCTTAAGAAGCAACGCGCGTCATGTACACATAAACCTCTGGAACCGCTAGTTAACCAGGCTGACATTTGTCCATGTTCCCAGCATCTTTAACTCGCAAATGTAATGGCTCGTGCACCGTCGCGAGAGCTTGTCGATCCACTTTGTCAATTCGACAGCGTTTTACTTGACTGCGCACATGTTTCGATGTGCTTTTCCCCAGAAACGTCCGTGGTGCTGCCATCAGCCTCGTCGGACCTGGACAAGATCCAGCAGCCGGTCAAGGTCGTGCTCTCCAGCACCTGTCACCACGCCTACAACGCATGCAAGTGAGTAGAAATTTTCGCTGTTAAATCTCACAATTTATACCGTGGCAACGCAGTGTTCAAAGAACTAAACTTATCAGAAACCTCGGCAAATGTAAATTTTTCTTGCCTCCTGAAAAGTCGACGTACTAAACAATTGCTACTGCGTCTACACTTTCCTTAAAGACTGTAACCTTTCTTATTTTTTATTCTTATTTTGTAGTGGTAGTACAATAAATAGCTGCAGTAAACTTCAAATTGAGGTTTTCGAAGCTTAAATATTAAAAAAGAAATGGTATACCTTTAGGAAGAAAAAAGAAAAAACTTCAAAAATAATCCTATCGACTATCTCGTAAATGTAAATTTCAAAGCTTTCTGGAAGCTTGTGACAGAAGTTGCAATTTCAAGATTCGATGCTACTTTCGCTAATCACTCGAATGAGCACTCGCGTTTCCTTAACAGGAAGAGAGTTTCAGTCTGTTCTTGCGCTCAAAGTGATCTATTCTATTCCTGGATCGGACCTAATCTCGAAAGTTTCCAAGAAGACATTGGCGCACGATCGTTTCTGTGAATTCCAGGAACGATCCGGAGTGCAGGGTGTTGCTGGAACCGGTGCTGAACCACTGCGAGTCGGCGAGCTGCGCGAAGAACGAGTGCATGGAAGCGTTGCAGAATTTCTACAAATCCGCGAACCACAAGCACTCGGTCGAGATCGCGTTCTGTCTGTGCAGGTGAGTCGTATTAAAGAATCAAAAGATCAGAGAACTCACCCAGGTCAGGGGGAAGTTTGTGGTTCGGTAGAGAAAATGGAAAATTCAACCGGTAGTTCGATCGGTCATTGAAATGTAACGAGATAAAAAATTTTATAAATCCGCGACACGTGTGATGAAAATCGTTTTCCGCTCGTAGCTGCCTCGACAGAGGCAATATTCCGTGGTGAATCGCTGTGTATCGGCGGATAAAAAATGAACGGAAAAAATAATAATAATTATTATTATAATAATAAAAGAAAATTGAATCTGGCCACTTGTCCGATCACAACGAAATTCCGTGACTCTGCAAACGCCAAATCGTGTCGTTAATTTGTTAAAGCATCTCTGTTCTTAACGCGTGGAATTAATACCTTTGCAACATCTGCGTCATAAATTGCGATGTTGGCTATTCAGTTGTTGGATTGCAATCGAGAAAAGATCGTTTTTATTAGTAAATGAAATCTCTGAAGCGCAATAATAATTTGATCTTTTAAAAAATAATATTTACCATTCGCTATCGTAAGCATACGAATAGTTAACATGATGCGACAATCGGCTGCGTTGCTGGAAAAAATGATTTTGTGTAGCAGATGACGCATGTATATGTCGTAATGTTTCCTCAATAAAAATTATAGTTTTGTCATTGACAAGAAGAAAAACATTGACTTCTAGATCTAGAGTCTAAAGAGAGGCGAAAAATAGAAAGAAAAATACATATAAATATGTGTTTATTCGTTCACTCGTTCTTTTGCCCCGATTCGCGAATTCATACCTATTAATTCCATCAGAATCTACATACTTGAAAATTGGCCGAGGAACAGGAGAAATCATATTAATACGCGCTTATTTTATTGCAATGCCAGTTCAACTGCTGTTAATTAATAAGAAAACAAATATCAGTTTCAATCGGGGAACGGCAGGTAAAACGGAATGAAAGAAATGGGACCGGTATCGCGTTCGGTTATGCATGATGGATCGCACCGTAGCGAACAGGAGTCTTCTATTCGAAACGATATCGAATTAATCGGAAACAATTAACCCGCGGGTATCACAGGCGGAAGATAAATTCGGCCGCTAATTAATTTCGTGCTTGATTAATGAAGGATCGAGTAACCGCAGTCAGCGAAGATATTTCATAATCGTGGCCACCGTGTGCTGATCGCGACGAGTCAACCGACGAGGATGCAACGATCCTCGCTCTCCCGTGTAGATCTTTAACCTTTTCTCCCGAAATTATCGGAACGATACGATAGCGTTCCAATAATTTTGTTCAGAATGTACTTCAATTTGTACTCGAATAATTTAGAATAGAAGTGGAAAATATGTTTATGTATGTATATTGAAGATCACGTCCGCCCGTTTCAACGAAGAAACAGGTGTGCCACCTCCAACATATTTCGCAAATCCAATTCCACGTAATATACAACAGTGAGTCAATTGACGCTACCACCTGCAATTACTCGCAAAAAAAAAAAATTTTTTTCAGTACAAAAGTTGCGCGATATTAAGGGAGTCGTGCAATATAATAATTAATTTCCACTTAGTTTTCTCTATCACGCGAAACGCTCGCTCGAAACGCTGTTCCATATAACAAATGAGTTTCGAGTAATTTCAGGTGGCAGAATTAACTGACCTGCATGTGCATAATCTACTCCGACATCGCTGAAACCTATAATCCCGCTATGAAAGAACCTCGGAAATATTCTAAATCTAATATTCCCGCGCAGTCGTCGGATATATTTTATAGCAGGAATTATCATAGCCTTTATCGCGTTCATTTTTGGCGAAAAGGATTAAACGGGACAATCTCGTTCTCCGTCGAGATCGAGATACAACGAAAACTCGAAACGATCGTTGGAAACCGTCCGCGCGAGACGAAGACGTAGCCAGGTCCCTCGGAACGCGACTCGCTCGGAATACGACTCAATTAAAGCCGCTCGTCTTTGTACGCTCGCCGTAATCCTGAGTAAACTCGCGGCAAAAGTGATAGGGTAGAGACAAAGGTGAGTCACGACGGGGAGAGGGGAGGACCAGCGCACAAAGAACCATCGCCGACCTGGAAATACTCCGGAGTTCTGCATCTCTAATCCCTTCGCGCGGCCAGCAACCGGCCGAGGCTTCTTTTCGATGGAAGCTCCTTTAACTTTTAAGTGGCTTTTGCCCGCGAAACAATGCAGAAACTTTCTATCCGTCTTCCACGTTCCCCACACCTTCGATCTCTCCTCCTCCTCCTCCTCTCCCACCCCCTTTTTTTCCCTTCCTTAACTTTCCCCGTACGCGCTCCGGTATTCATTGTCCTGGGCGACCGTTTCTTTGTCCCGCGCCAACCCGCAACTGGATATTGGTATCATCTGAGGAATTTATGAATATTAGACGACCCTCGTTGGACCGTGTCTTTGACAAATTGGAACTCCCGCACTTTTCTGTTTAAAACGCGACGATTAATTTAAGCAGCGTGAAGGCTGCTCCGTGGAATATTCGATGGATCGTTGAATGGGGACTCTCCTTTGATCAGACGGATTCATTTTTGGTCCCCTTAAATTTTTTTCTCCGTTTTTTCTTTTGGTCCCTGTCTTTTTCTTTTTGACTGGGTCTTGCATCGAGACAGCTCGCGAAAATATTCGAACACGCGTTGCAGCAGAATTTTTATACATACGAACATATTTCGAATGACCGATAAAGATACAGTAATTAAAATCTTTGCAGTCACAAACACGTATATATGTTAAACATCCTACAATTTCTACAAAAACATTTATCTGTTTCCGATTTGACTGACGTAACCAATGTTAATTAACGCCATTAACGAAATTTCGTAGTGTGTTTGTAAAAAGTTGAATGCGCATGAACTATATTTTATATATATATAACATATATTACATTATATTGTATTAGTATTATATTAGTAATATAATAATATAATATAAGCGTTTCAGACCAATTGAAGCGTGTGATACTTCCGTGTAACACGTGTTTTATGATAAATTATTATATAGTATATTATATAGTATTATATATTATATTACACGGTTAGTTATATATTAGTATTATATTATTATAATATATAGGATAATACTAATGTATAACTAACTATATTATACATATAAGTATTATATATTATATTATATTGTATTATATTAGTAATATAATAATATAATATAAGCGTTTCACGGCTCAGACCAATTGAAGCGTGTGATACTTCCGTGTAACACGTGTTTTATGATAAAGTATTATATAGTATATTATATAGTATTTTATATTATATTACACGGTTAGTTATATATTAGTATTATATTATTATAATATATAGGATAATACTAATATATAACTAACTATATTATACATATAAGTATTATATATTATATTATATTGTATTATATTAGTAATATAATAATATAATATAAGCGTTTCACGGCTCAGACCAATTGAAGCGTGTGATACTTCCGTGTAACACGTGTTTTATAATAAAATATTATATAGTATATTATATTATATTATACGAACGAATTTTCGCGAGCAACTTCTCATCGACAAGAGTGAAAATTTATGGTCGAAGTACTTAAGGGAGGGAGGACCTCGATCGTGGAAGGGAATGGAAAAGCCTCCGGGCTCGAATAAAATATTTGGCGGTCTCATTTAATGCTCGTTGAGCAACACCCACCTGGCGGTGAATTCCCTCCTTTAAAATTCGCTCGAGCACTCGAAAAGATGGACTGCAAGACGGTGCTCCGTCATGCGATAAATCGTCGCGTCTTCCCTTTGTTTTCGCAATCTGGCGCCACCCTGACGAATCGATCCCAGCTTTTAACGTCCATCGTAACTATCCACCGTTATACAATCAACGATCGATCTTCCCAATCGTGAATTCGCGTAGATCTGAATGAACGTGATGATTTTGTTTCTTTACAGAAAGACGGACGTTTCTTTACAGAAGAAAGACGACTGTATGATCGCGCAGGAGAAGATGCACCCTGCGTGCGCGCAACGAGGCGAGGGGGAAATACCGACCTGTCACAGCTTGGCGGAAACTTGCAAAGAGCACGAGGCATGCAGGTACGTTTCGAAATACGCGCGCTCCAATTAACAACGTTGATTTCTTCGACTCCTGTAAATATTTCAGAATAATTCGAATAAAATAGAACACCATCGACGGAAGGACGTTTTCTAATTTTAAACGTCGAGTAATCTTTACTGTGACGCAATGATAAATATTCCAGGCGAGCAAACTCGCGTGCTAGCGATTCATTATTGGAAAGATAATAACATTTAACGGATCTGAGGAAAATGAATCTCCCTATTCTCGAAGCGCTAATTCCCATAAATCTCTGTTAATCCCCAATTTATAATCAGATTATAATTAACAACTTAATACCTTATAATTATTACGATTAACAACTAAATACTACAAAATTGAAGTAAAAAAAGATTTAGGTTCCACGTGCATTGCTTCATCTCGAAATATTTCATTCGATCTAGTCTCTATCAAGGAAAATATAGAGTATAAAATGCCGTAAGTTTCTGCACTATGATGCAAGTTATTCAGGGCCTCGTGATGTCGTTTAAGAGTTCAAGGGATCGGGAGAAATTAATTGGCACGGTGGAGACAACAACGGTTTGTGTAAACCGGGTGACCTTTTGATTAAACGCTTCGTATCCTTTCTTTTTTTTTTTTTTTTTTTTTTTCTCGCCTGCGGCCGACCCCCGTAGTTGGATGGAGTGCTCGTCTCAATTTGAAAGTTAAATTGCGAGACAACGAGACGTTGCGTTGACTTGATCCAGCCCTGGTCGGCCGCGTAATGAAACACTTTGTTACTTCAGATAAAGACATCCGGCTCGCTAGTTGAAATTGCGAGAACGATCCGTGTCTAACAAGTGCAGACGATTCCGAAAGCTTGAAACGGAGATCAGCCGAAAGCGTTGGAATCTATTTATCGCCGGTCAATTAACCAGGGCCTAATTAAAATCCGACCGTTGATTAATTCGATGGAAAATTTCGGATTGAAAAGGAATCGAGCTTCTCGAAACGGGAACGATTCGATTCCGATCGATCAAAGCGGATGTTGGATCCACGCGACGATTGAATTACAGCGCACGTCTGTATACGGGCATTTTAATTGATTTATTATCGCGCGCCTCGCAGCTGTGAATTCGTTTTTAACAGATCGAATATTCTTTAATCGCGTGATGCATTATGCAGCAATTTTTGCAACGGGGATCCCTCGCGTGTACTGCCGAAAAAAAAAAAAGAAAAAAGAGACAGATGGCAATCGGACGAATAAATCGCGAAGATTATCCTTCGATTTCATCGTGCACGTTGCTCGAATCACGGTCGAATTGTTAGTTATATTTATTATTAATTCTGTATCTTGGAAAACGAACGTGCCAATTTTCTGAATAATTTCACCTATGCGTATTCATAACTATTATTTGGCTTCAACTACCGAGATACTTTTGGTGCTTTTTAATTTGTTAACTATTCAGGTAATAAAATTTCAATTATCGACACGATTTTAGTACGAATACGTATCAGATTTTTCACTTAACGAGTATCAATGTAACAAATTAACCGGAGAGGTCTCGGTGTAATAAATATAAAAAAAAAAAACACGGATTTGGTCGAAGCGAAGCAAATTGATAAGCCCGAAGACCTTATTGGAGCGTCGACACGTTTACAAACACCAGTCGTACGATTCTGATTTTAATTTTTCGAAGAAAGCGGCGTAGAGTGGGAAGAGTGGCGTCTCAGTCTTCGAGACGATCGCTTTGACGATCGGCTGTCGCTTTTCGAACCCTCTCGCCGCTGAATTTAATTACGTAATTTAATTGCTGCGTAGAGCGAGGCTGGAGTACTACGAGCAAAACTGCGCGGTGGACAGCGTGACGAAGAAGTGTGCTGGCCCGACGGCCGAGTGTAGGAAAGCGATGCTGGGAATCCTTGGTACCGAGCTGCGATCGAACTGCGCGTGCAAGGGCACGGAGCTCACGCAACTTTACGACTGCTTGGGCTGGCAGAGACTCCTCTGGGTGAATCCTTGCGTCGGTGAGTTAATCTTATCATCTTCTTTCTGTTTCTTTTTCTTTTCTTTTTTTTCTTTTCTTTTCGGTGAAGCAATTTCATCCTCCTAAAGAGAAGGTTCACCGAATTTTAAGAAACGTTACCACGTGAGAAAGAGACAGCTTCTTTCGTTTTATTATTCTACGAGACAAGATTTTACAAACTATCTCTCGAAAAACAAAACTTTTATCTTTGTATAACATGGTATTATATGCACAAGGAATTACACGAGTGCTCGCTGCGTTGATAGATGTAATTAATTATCTGTAACATCAGGGGTTAGTCGTAAGAAGGAATGCCATAATGAATCCCAAATCAAACCTAAATATCCGAAATAACATTTACTTTGGACATTCCATTGAATAATTATACGTTTTCATCGGTAAGTTTCAATTTCTCGAAGTGATCGAATAATTTTCAATTGTCCCGATTACGAAAAGTACATTGTGAATAATTAAAATCGTTCTCGGCTATCGATGACAGAGGGAACGATATAAATTTCTTTCCTCTTTTTTTTTTTTTTTCTTTTGATTCGCGGTAACCATCATCGATGACCCGAATTTTATTTACCAATAACCAATAACGAGTTCACGTGGAATAAATAATTGAATTGTCGAACCGTTCGGAAGCCACGGCGATCAAGTTCGACAATGGAAGGCTCATCGTATACCCGAACGATGAAATTATTAATCGTGAAACTTGCGTAAAGCGAGATTCATCGTTTCGACTTTTTCGCTGCTTCCCTTCTCTCGGAATTATTGTGATAATTTCCAGCTTTTTCAACAATTCTCCATAATAAAGTCCTCCCTTTCACAGTTAGTAATGGAAACTTTCGCAAATGCCTGATGTTACACGTGTTTCGAAGAAAAAAAAAAAAAAAAAAGAAGAAGAAGGAAACTCACGGGGAAGGATGTGTTCATCGTTTGTTATTGTATTTTTGTTTCCATATCGTATCGTGCTCGTTAGTTTACTTATCGCAGCCGATACGTAAATGCGACGCTGTTTACGTGGCGAACGTGTGTCGAAGGACAGAATAACAAGGATCACGAACCTGTAATTGATGTTCTCTGTCGCGAAAAACCTTCACGCGTACGCGGTGAGCGACAGATACAATTCGCGGTCGAATGAATCGTCTCGTTGTTTTAAGCAACGTACGATCGTCACAGGGAAGAGGGAAAAAGCTGCTCTCGAAGCAGGCCCTGTCTTTTCCGCGATAAAATCATCCGGCAGGATTAAACATTCGAGACAATACGGATGGTGCCAGTCCGCACGGTGATTAATATCTGGAACGATTAATATCTGCTCGATGACAGAGCCGATTCCTTTACGCGCGAGTTTTCCTTATTTTTATCACCCAGCAACCCACCCCCTCCTCCTCACCCCGGTTAAATATGTAATTCGGTCGTTTATTGGAAAACGTGATGAATGGTCCTAGTTCGCGCTTTCTCTCTTCCGTATTCTCGCTGTTACTTAAGATACGCCTTGTGTTCGACGAATATTATAAATAGCAGGATTCCTGTGAAAAAGTTGAAAAATTTCATTCTCTTATGGCAAAATGTCCCGCTGGTAGGAATATTAAATTCTGTCTCTGTAGAGAAAATTTCAAATGCCAATTGAAAAGAACCAGACAATACACATTGTAATGTATATTAAATATATTATATATTATAAATTATATTAAAAATGTATAATATGTATAATATTATATATATGTTAATATATGGTAAAATATGTATAATATTAAACTAAGACATTTATTATTATGTTAAATATAAATTAAATATATTAGAAAATAATTATACAGTAATATTTATAATAATATAAATATTACTATATGTACTTAATATAAATTAAATATATTAGAAAATAATTACACAGTAATATTTACAATAATACAGTAATATTTATAATAATATAAATATTATTGTATTAAATATATTAGAGACGCATAAGTTAGTAATTTAAGAACAAACTGAGAACTGACACGTACAGTAGCTACAAATTTAAACGAATGGCGCATTGAATTTTCAATTTCTTTCCTCGACTGTTTTCCTGAAATCCCGAATATATCAATAAGAAAGTTCTCCGATGGATTCTCTCGCTCGCGTTCAACAGCAAGAACAAGATCGAATTCTGTAAATCATTCTTTTTCCCATCCTGCTGAGAGATTTCATTTTTGCTCCCCGCGAGAAGTAGCCACTCGTCAATTATTTTCTAAACAAAATTCATCGCCTTTTTACAAGTGGAACGAGCAACAGCGAGGAAAGTAGTAAATGGAGGAAAGATGGGGGCTGGATGAATAGAGGTACGGAAACTCGTGTCTTATCCAAGCTGCAGACCACAGCTAGCAGCATAAAGACGTTCATCTGCAGCGATCGCGGAATCGCTATTACGTCGGATGAAAGAACGTACGGACGAAACGAGGCTTTTATCGATCTTACATCTGTTACCGCGAATCGCGTTGCAAAACTCGATAGTAACCGGCATTCAGCCGACAGATAAGTCATTTAGATATGAAGAAATTGCGCCTGCTGCTCGCTCGAGGAGTGCATCGTTTCTCTACGTATGTTTCTCTCTCCCTCTCTCTGTTTGTATGTGTACGTGTTGGCGTTAACTGCATCGACCGGCTCGATCGTCTTTCGTCGATTCCCGATAGGGAATGTGGGTCGAACAGCAGGGTTTGATGCCCTCCTTTCGCATGGCCGATAAACGAGCCAGATGCAAATTAACCTGGACCAACGGCTGTTCCCCGTGAATTTATTTACCAGACTGCGTTTTAGTTGAAACGCACGATTCCATCCATTTCTAGTGATGATCCTCCGTTCTATTTCCGACGCGGTGTCAACCCCTTCGCATTCGACGAAGTGTTTCTTTTAGGCAATGCTGCGTGGTTCATCAGACGCGATACGTTTCCTGCAAAATATTATTACAGAGTGGTTAATCCTTTAGCTTGAGCTCGATAAGCCAGAGTTATTCGCAACCATTTTCCTTCGTCTGAGATTAAATGAAGTATTAAATTGTTTGAGATAAATACGTACTATACGTGCTTGTCTCAAGATTCTTGTATACAATACAGATTACTGTATTACTAAACATAGGTTAATTTTGCTCGTGAATTTGCATTTTATTTCAAGATATATATACTCTGTATATTCTTCTCTTAATAAGAAGCAATATTTTGCTCAAAGCGTGGTCAGATATTCGAATCGATCCTAGGGCAAATGCAAGCGATTTCAAGTGATACTACAAGTAATCACAGACGATCGAATGTCGATGATTTCAGTCGAGTCCCAGAAAGATTATCACGCAAGAAGGAAACATCATCATTACACGAGGACCACGACGACGACTGTCTCGTCGACGACCAAGTCGCCGGTTAGCACGACGACGGTCACCGTGGTCGAACAAGTGGAGGATAATAAAATACCGGAAGTGACGAGATGGACGACTACAGAACCCACGGAAACTTGGGAAATCACCACCATCAGCAGTACCACCATTAGTACCACTCCCAGCACCACCACGACCACCACCACTCCACCTCGTAAGTACCAATCTTCCCGCAATAATACTGTCTCCCCTGGCTCGAAACTTTGTCCACTTTCGAAATTGCAAACGATTGCGTTTGTCAATCCTCGGAAAGAGAATTCGACGGTAACAAATTACACTCGCATTCCCCAACGGATTAGCTGGTATCATTGGATTGTTTAACTTCGGATCAAGTCGCTTGATTTGAAAATTTTTCGTTCGACTCGATTCTCACGGAGGATTTTGATAAAAAAAAAATTGAAACAGTCGGAATTCTAGTCGCGTAATTTTATCGTAAATTGCTATACTCATTTATAGTACTCAACTACACTTTCCAATGGTCGGATTAACTTAATGTTGGAATTTTATAATCCGGAATATAATTTACAGCACCAATTCCTACGAGGTATAGGATAAAATACGAAGTAAAATTGAATGTTGTCTTAATTTCCAGTAATTTAATGCAAAATTATGATACTATGTATTATCTAATTTTCAATGGTTACACCACCTTGGTTTCGCAATTTTCTCGCTAATCTCTGTCGCGATCAACATGACGAGAACGAAAATGAAATACCCTTCAGTGATTTAACATTAATTATTCACTATCAGGGATCGAACGGAAGGTAAAACAGAGAAGGAAATTACTCGCGCGAGGCTTGACAAATCGATGGAGGGTGTATTGAAATCTCCGGGAAATAAGAGGGAAAATGGCGATGCGTGGGCGCGGTATTTCTCGAATGGGAAACGCGCAGCTCCTTTGATCGTCTCGAACCGGACGAGAAAGATTTTGCTCGGGACACACACACACGCGCGAGGAATTTTCGTTTCACCGCCGCGAGTGCCCGTGCGTCGAATGTTACAAAGCGAATCGAAGGGTTGCGAACGGAGGGGGTGGGTGGCTTGAAACAGGCTAAAAGAAAGATTCGAAACCGGGCGAGACGATGGTGGTGGTGGTGGGTATTCAGACTGACGAAGGGGCGGGGAGAAAAGGAGACAGGAAAACAGTTTGCCGGGAAACGTGTGGCACACGTTCTGTACGTTCGTCTCTTTATAGGCTTCTGTGTGGTTCAAAGGCCGAGGCAAAGTCACCAATACATAAGGGAGGGCGAAGGCAAGAGGGTGAGTGTTCGACAATCTGCAAAGTATTTTCGCGAGCGACCAGGCGAAAAGCGTTCCCCGGTTGGCAGATCCGAGAGGAACGCACGCCAGCAAATCGAATCGAATCGTCCAGGAAGATCAGAGCAAATGAAAAATCTCGCCGGTGGGATTTGCGTTTTTCTTTTTTTTTTTTTTTTCTTTTTTTCTTTCAAGATTGACGGATTTTGAAAAGACTGCTGAAAAGAGATGGTTGATGTTCTCCCACTTGTGATGAAATTAATAGCAACTAGAGCGAAGTGTTGAAGTAAGATAAGCGTGGTTAAACGTGATTTTCTCGTGTCGTTGGCACAGATTTATAACGTTATGATAGATTCCCTTTTATTTTATTTAACGTTATAATAGAGTCACTCTTGCTTCAATCGGTCAAAGGTGCAGGAATAGATTGTGAGCTTTCTCTGCAGTAAATAATGGACTCGAACAATTTATTGCTGTCAGATGTTATCTCTGCAATGAACGCAACGTTTTTCACTTGTTATTAATTCTCGTTCAATAAATATTATTTATGTCTTGTTACACGATATTTTAATCTGATTTAATTTATTCATGGGCAATAGCTCTTTCATAATACGTAGTAAGATTAATTTACAAATTAAAATGTATATACATATAGTATCGTGCAATATTTTTTTTCATTTTGAACAGGGACAATATTGAAGAATTTGCAACTTGCAAATGATATTATTGATTCGTTAATTCAAACTGATGCCAGTTAAGGAGTCTGCTATATGCTACTCGCTCGCATGAATAATTTGTCCACGTCTCTCTCGCGCAACTTTTTTCCCGCCGCATTGGTATGTTTGTTAAAAGCAAACTGCGTCGCGAGTGTTTATTGTGTATGACATCGGTAACTTTAATCGCGTGCGCGACAACGTTAATGCGAAATTGAAAGTTCGCTGCTCTCGGGGCGCTTAGATGGAGCTTTTAATTGGCGCGGAAAAAAAAAACAAAGAAACACACCGACAGAAATAACAAACAGGCATTTAATACCGTCGAAACACGTAACGTTGAAAAACGTTTCGGCCGAGCCGCTGAATCACAGTGAGAAAAGTGAGGAAGATTTCTATTTATTCGTTTCCTTTTTTCCTCCACTTTCTATTTTTTCTGTTTTCTTTCGCCGCGCGTGGCTCGTTGTTAACTCGCTGATCGGGATGTTGTCGTGAATTAACAACGTACAGCGAAACCGCGAAGTGAAAAGTTTAATCTGAAGTGCCGCGATTAATTGTAACGTCGACGTTACAATTATATAATATTTAGCGTGCACGCGTTTTCGAGCCGGGCCGTTCATCTTTAAAACGAAATATCCCGATTGTGGTCGTTGATTTCGGGAACTGCGCGATTGCAGCGCGTGAACTGAACCGGGTTTAACGCTCGGAGAATCCTTTTTCTAGGTATTGGAAATTCAATCATTCAAAAGCCGATCGGAAACTTTAAAATTTTACTAACCGAGTAAAATTTTAACAAGTGACTCAAACTTCGTGAGTCTATTAGTTACAAGCAGATTACATATATGTATATATTCGCGAGTTTCGAAATAAAAATCAACATATTACTTGTTCTCCTTTCGCTACTTCGTCGCGTCGATGTTCTGTCTCCTTCAGCGATATTTTGTTTAGAAAAATAATATCGTAGAATACATTAAAATTATGTCGAGAAATGTTCAGAAGCTACGTGTATTTTATATCATATTTATTGAAACATAATATTCATGTCGTCTATAAGGGAGAGCAGCAACAGCAGCAAAATATAAAATACCATCGCGTTCCTTTATTTATCGATCGATGAAATTTTCATCAACGTTTTAATTAGGAAATGTTCGATCTTCCCAACCGATCGCGTCTCTTTTATACATCTTCCTGGACTTTGACCGTTTCACCCTTTAAACGAAAAAAGCGGGTCGTAGCCAAATCAGCTCGACGCAGCTCGTCCCTCTCGTAGAAGATTTAGACGAAAGCTACGCTCTTTGAGCTACGAACCAACCAGCCGTGTACTTGATTCGTGCAGCTGTACCGCGAGGACGAGCCGGAATGCTCGGAGCTGTGCCAGTGCGGCGAGGGTGAAGTTTTGATCTGCAACACGATCTGCGTGGACTCGTCGCCCTGCAAGACGGACTTCGCCTTCTACAATCACGAGGCACCGGCGTATCAGGCGCATCGCGGGCCCTGCCTTTGCTACAGCGGCCGTTTCATATGCATGCGGCCCTCGCCCGGTGAATATACACGCCACCCTTTTGAATATAATCCGATCCGGACGATCCACGCGAACGGGAACAAAGTCCAAATATTTTTCGACCCGGGTTTAATTGGAAACCCAGTTCCAACGTTTACAGTGCGAGGATGCTCCGCTTAATTACTATTTGCTGTTATTAACTAATTAACGATAACGTTTGGTCAACAGTGTATGCATTATTATTTTGTTCTATTGTTATTGGCAATAGCGAAGCAAGTCAGTTTCAGCCCATCAGTTCGGAGCTAATATTTTTTCAGTTAGTCTTGATATATTTTTTTTTTCCATCGATTTAATTACGATTGCCTTGTCTCGCTGTTGCGCTTGTTTCAGTGATAAGCGCTAGCTTAATAAATTCGTTCGCGTTTCCCCAAAGACGAGAGTACAGATATTGCACTTTGCACGTATGATTTATTCAATCAAACGATGAAAATGCACCATTTCGTTCTGTTATTCTTCATAGATTTTTGCTCGTTTTCCTCCGTCGTACGTAGACGTTTGTGTGACTTTTACGTCTGTGTTTGTATTCTTCAAAGGAAACGTAACATCGAAACGCGAACGAGCTCGCGTTTAATATTTTATCGTTGTCGACGTGATGTAATAATCTCTCTGAATAATTTGTCCGTACAGACGCTTACTCTATACCGCACGGAGTTTTCATGTTCCTGGGCTACAGCGAAAAGGACGAGAGCTTATTACGACGCCACAATAACCTCACCGTCCTGGACGCAGTGTCGTCCCTCGATAACTTCATGAGAGAAGAAGTTAATAATCAGGTAGAACATCTCACTGTACTGTCGCTCTCGGTTGACTCATTCTACTTCTATCCTCCTCGTAATAATACTCAAAACTAAGTGAAGCCACTGCTGTTTTATTCGATTTTAAATTAATAACTATACTGTCTATCATGTATAAAATTGTGACAACTTAATCTTAATCGACGATTAAGTGAAACAACTGAGCGTATCGTCGCGTGCATTGATCCATTCTACTTCTATCCTCCTCGTAATAATAATCAAAACTAAGTGAAGCCACTGCTGTTCTATTCGATTTTAAATTAATAACTGTACTGTCTATCATGTATAAAATTGTGACAATTTAATCTTAATCGACGATTAAGTGAAACAACTGAGCGTGTCGTCGCGTGCATTGATCCATTCTACTTCTATCCTCCTCGTAATAATAATCAAAACTAAGTGAAGCCACTGCTGTTCTATTCGATTTTAAATTTAAATAGTTGTACTGTCTATCGTGTATAAAATTGTGACAATTTAATCTTAATCGACGATTAAGTGAAACAACTGAGCGTGTCGTCGCATGCGTTGACCCACTCTCCTTCCCCTCCCGAGAAGATCAAAATTCCATCGCGTTTCGCACGAGCCGAGGGATCTGTTTCAAACTGCTCAAGCTGAATGTCAGAGCCGAACGAATTTTAAGCCGAAACGGCGGCGCTCTCTCGGCCGTGAGGTATTCACGCGTTGGGGGAACGAGAAAAATCTCGAGAAGCAGCAGGAGAGACGGATCGGGAATATAAAGCGAACACGGCTGGGCGAAACTTAATAATGCGAGATAGCGTTGGATGACGTCGGAGACACATCCAACGCTCCCCACTCCCCACTCCCCACGCTATTCCTTTTTTTCCGTTTTATTTGCAGACAGTGTGCACGCTGTTCCTGTACAACGCCACCCGAGAGAACGTGATTGCAGTGGCGCGTCTCGGGACTGACAATCCACCCTTAAATAGCAGCCAAGCTCAAAGTCTGCAGCACCTTCTGCGCGTCAAGGTGAGTAAATTGCAAATAGCAACGGCTCTCTATCCTTCTCTGTCTACGTCGCCTCCGCTACCCCAAGTGCGCCGTGAATTCGCATCAATTCTGATCTTATTTTCCGGCCAACTCCGGCGCCCTCTCTTAAGGCAGCATTCGCAGCCCTAGCATCGCGTCGGCCCTCACTGCTAACTTTATTGCCAGCCCTGCTACTTTTCCGCTAGCCCGCTTCTCTATTTGGCCACTCGTCAACCGCTTATACGTAACGGGTTATTGAATTAGCCGCGAGGCACACCTTCGTCGTCCGACAACGGACTTTATTCCTTCGTTTTCGGCGACGCCTCCTTAGCGTTTTACTACTTTCTCTCTTGATAACTTGGATCTTTCTCCGTTTTTTTTTTCCTCCCTCGATGACGAGTTCGTAGGCATAGTACGAATCGAAGGACAAAGATTCGTGGAAGAAGTGAATCGCGTGACACTCACATTTATCCTAAATTAGGATCAATTTCTCAAGACACTCTGTATCTTTTTTTACGTGAACTTTTTTGATAAAACGGAAATGTTTAATTGCAAATCTTGTCAAAACTATGTATTAACGTCACACTGTCGTATCGTTTTTTTCATTAAAATTTGACGGTGTTGGATATGACCAGATAAACATTCCTTTATTTAAGAGGATATTCGTTAGGGGTGTGCGAGAACCCGAAAATATCGGGAAACCGTTTCTCGGACTACTCTACAATGCTGTATAGCAGCCGACAAAATATGTAAATACACAGTTCAATTTCTTCTGCCAGTGAAATTATTGGAAACACGAATTCTAAGAATCGTGTGACCTGATGTAAACGAACGTGTGACCGCATGCTTGATATTATGTACGCTGCTGAACAGTATCGCGGAGAAACTCGGGGAGGTCAGACGTATGTTTCAAAATCTCCGTGAATTTAATAAAGACTAAAAATCTTTAAAATCAATGTCGAGTGATAGTGAGAGTCAAGTTGTGGTAGCAGGAAGTAGTGCAGAAGATATCGTGCAAAGAAAGAAGGTAAAGAGAAGCTCTGTTCGGGAACATTTTCAAGAAAAAGATGATACAAAGGCGGAATGCACGCATTGTCACCGTGAATTTAAAACAAGGTATGCAAATACTACTGGTTTATTACGCCATTTGAAGCATATGCCTATGTACATAATGTATATGTACTAGAAAAGAAACTGAATCGATATAAAATTTGTCGCGTGTATAAAATGATACGCGAAAGATTGTTAAATCTAAAGATAAAAACACAAGGAATCGCTCGAATAATGGTTCTAGATCTGCGATCTTTCGATATAGTAGTAGTTGAAGGCGAGAGCTTTAACGAATAATTTATTCTTGTTACTAATCCTTTCGGGAATCCCGATTCTTGCGAGAATCCCGATAAATTCGAGAATCTCGAAATTTTCAAGTACCTGTCCCGATCCCGAAGAAATTTCGTGTTCTCGCGCACCTCTAATATTCGTAAAAACGTCACTTGACAGTAATAATATAAACGATATAACGTCCGCAGAAGTTTTAATATCCTCTGTATAGGTAGAAATAAGATCCTTCCCATTAATACCTCATTAAAAAGTTGGAAAATGAAACGCGCTGGCATAAAGTTTGAACGATAAACCTCGGCGGCAGAACCTATTTATCAGAAATTCCATAAATATGGTAAGTGTCCACGTACTTCAAACGGCAGGCCGCAAGTCGATAGTGGAATGGAAAGTTCGTGTTCCTTGTGACGGGTCTCGAATGCCGCTAATTACCTCGAAGGTAAAAAGGTTCTCCCCGTGTGCCCACAACGCTTTCTTATCGTCGTTTAATTTCGAAAGACGTAGCTCAAGATCACGGTCCGCGGTCGTGGCTTATCATCGCGCAATGCGAGAAGAAGAAAGGCGCAGAGACAAGAGAAAAAAAGAAAAAAAGAAAAGAAAGGAATAAGGGAGGCGAAGGGAGAGAGAATCGCGTGCAGAAGGACAATCTGGCACGCGACGAAAGGGCTGGTTTCGTGTTTACGTGAGCACGGAGTGCGTGCCACGCGCAGGAAGTGCGTGCAGCCATAACTGCCGAGGGGGCGATATCAGAACTTTACAGAACTTTTCATTTCTGCGCGTCGTCTCTCTGTCCACTGTTCGTTCGTCGATTCGCTCGTAAATCCTCTCTCTCTCTCTCTCTTTCTCTCGCGAGGGGAAACCAGCCAGAAACAACCCCTCTCGTGGAGGAGGGGATTATCGCGATTAATTAGCCGGTGCGCCGTCCTTAATTTCTCCGAAATTTATCCGACGATCCCCAACCTCCGCCTTTCGTGTCTGATTTCGCGACTCGTCGGTCTCGACCATCGTCGCAAAAAAATCATTCTCGCTCGACAGACGAGAATTTCGAACGACGTTTTTCCTTTTTTTCTTTTTTTCTTTTCAATTCATGAAAGAGAGAGAGAGAGAATTAAATCCGACGAATTTCTATTTCTGTTACCGTCGATCGTCAAATAAATAACTTTTGATCGCGCGTAGAAACGATTATTCCTACGTTCTTCCATAGAAATAGTAACGAGTTTCATGATTTCAAAGAATTTGTAAGAATTTCAAAATTTGAGTGGTTCTTTCTCGATTAATTTGTGTATTTAAAAAATTGTGCAGCTGGTATCTCGGATCTTATTAAATATTTATATTAATATTTAATATTTAAATATTATTTATATTAATATTTATTTAATAGCAGGATAACGATATTTTTACTTACAAGTTTTCGCAACGTCGAATAGACGACGATTTCTAACAAACATTTCCTTCTGTAACGCAGCTGATCCTCGGAAGCCAACTCCGCTTCTCTGGATTTTTCAATTTTATTACGCAGAGACGTGTTCGCTCTTCTCTAAAGAAATCTACAAATAAACTCACGTCTCTAAGTTTGTTTGCAGATCGTGTGAATAATCGCAAATTTTAAAAAACAAAATTAGCAATTTCTTTGACTTTTCAACTCGCACTTTTCCAGGTGATAATTGACACAAATTCAAACTTCAAAAAAAAAAAAAAAAAAAAAAAGGCATTTCGTACGCACCAACCGAATGGAAGAGGGAGGGAAAATTACACGCTACGAAAAGCTAGTTACCACTTTTGATTAAAAGGGAAGAGGAGCGAATTTGGAGAAAAGTCTCGACCCGCGAGAGGTGAAAACGATAATCGAACAAGCGATGCTAATTACGCGGGCGGATTCGTTGCAGAGCGGGCGCAACATTTCCCTCCTCCAGATGGTGGCCGGGTTTTTTCTCCGCCGCGGGTGAGGGCGTGCATTGAAAAGGCAATTAAAGCGCGACACGATTTCGTTAGGCAGCCTCGCGAGCACTTATCGCGGCCGAGTAGTCGTGAAATTTCGCAGAGTCCACGCGTGCTCGCGCGCCCGTGTTTTCCTCTTCCTCTTCCTCCATCCTCCTCCTCCTCCTCCTCGATCGATAAATTGTTTAGCAAATAACACCGGCGGCTGTTCCACGGAAATCGTAAATAAGCGCGATCGAGTCGAGTCGCGCCGATGTGGCGGATAACCGAACGACCGATAAAAAGGAGGGATACGAGCGTGAAAAATTGATAAACGAGTCGGATATACGTTGTCGCGCGAAACATTAAGCCGCGCGTGTAGACGGAATTTCCATTCGTAGAGGAAATATCAATCCTATAGCTAGTATCCCCCTGATATTCCCGAACGATCGGAACGATGCTTCGTTTGCGCGTGTTTCAATTCGATCGAATAAAAATTCAATTACTTGTTATTCTTGAAAAATATATTCCTGTACAGAGGGAATCATTCTGCGATTATCCGTATAATTAACGTAATTGTTTTTGATATGATCGGTTGCAATATTAAATGTTAATGTATTAATATTAATCGGTCTTTGTCCTACAATGAGAAGTAACGACACGGCGTTTGTGTTTGTCGGTGGCGAAATTTGAAATTACGAAATTTGGATGGAGAAACTTTTCCACCGAAGAATAATCCGCCAGTGCTCTTTGCAACTGTTCGCTCGTGGTCCCTGTTTTCGATTATTCTGAGTCTAAAAATCAAATTAAAAAAGTATTCGAGATATTATTTTGATGTCGTTGATATTAGTGATATTTTTTATTGATATTGACTATACAAGTTTCAATCAGTAGTCATAACGTTAACGATCAGATCAAAGAGGAGCCTGCTGTTGATTTGTTCGACGTTCCTAGAATACTTTCACCACATGTACAAGTACAAGAACGACGTTCGACACAATGTGTACGAGTGGATTGATAAATTTTAAAAATGGTCGCGAAATTGCGAGTGGCAGCAAGAAAATTGCAAATTGCTTCTTCCCGCGTCGAAACGGTGTAATGTTTCAATCCGAGAAACCGCCACCGGGCGTCGAGGACGGTTTCGGAATGTTAAAGAGCGGAACAAGGGAAAAGGCCTGGCGGGGAAATAAAGAGGTGGGACGAATACAGGCGAGTAGATTGTGCCGAACGAGACAGGGCAGAGCGCGCCAATTCAAATCCGCGATCCCTCCATCAAATTGCAAATCGACCGGCGCTTAATCGCAAATTGGAAATCGCCGCGGGAGCTCGTATGAGCGGCGCAAAATGCTCTGCGTTCCCTCATCGACGCAACGCGCACTCCCCTTCCTATCGATGCGGACAAACGCTGTCCACGCGGCTCCCGGACCTGGACAAATTTTCCCTGAAAAATACACGGGTGCCAGAGAATAAAAAAAAAAAAGGAGAAAAAAGAAAAACGTCACTGACGAGATAAACACGCGTCCAAATTGATTTCGCGAACGATTTGTCGTGCAAGTCAGATCGTTTCCCTCGTTGCCGCTCTTCAACCCCTCGTCTTACGATTTTACTATCAATCTTCCAGGCATTTAATTATTGCAATCGTTAATTGTAGCATCGTATTAAACGTAAAGCGTTGAAACGTTATTGCACAGAGTGTTTTCTATTCGAGGAGCGAAAATATGAAGTTTTTGTTGGTAACAGTATGA